TACTCAAATATGTAATAGTGAATACAATACCATAGAGTGGTAGCTTAGTACTTGGTACTCAATGCATTTTGATGCACAAATATTGTCCTGGTATTTAACATGTTGCAAAAGGAAGTAGGAGAAAGCTGCAGAGGGCAGACAGGAAATTGGCAATGCTCTGAAAGTTGCTGACATAGGAAAAGGGAGAGATAGGAAGTCCTTCCTAGCCAAAACAAAGGGTCATGTAGTAAGTCACATGGTTTGTTTGGTACTCATCCCTTTTTAGTACTCGTCACACCTCTTGGAATCAATTAAGGACAAGTACCCAGGTATTGCTGTACTCATAATGTCTTTCCCTTTGTAAATATGTACATTTAGGGTATTCAGGTTGCTATAACATCCATTATAATAAAACTGGTGAGGAAAGGAGGAATAGCCAAGTGCTTAAAATGTGATCTTGAAGCGATTACTGCAGGCATTAATCTAATGCAAAGGAATTCTTTTTAGGACATAAGAATCTTTGGTAATTGAAGAACTAAACATAGACCTTCCACTTCTTTATAAATCTAATGTTTGGGAAGACTATGGATAGAGTAGACTTCTTTTGACACCAGAAGGAATGTGACTAGAAGGGGCAGGAAAGTAAGCATATTGCTTTCTGATATAGGGCATTGACTTCAATTAATTTAGGCTAGCAAAACATATGGCTGATTCTACTTTAGAAAGGGTTCACATTCAGATTGAGTCAGTCACTGTTAAGCATGAAAATTAATAGCTGTGGCCCTAATTAATTCAGCAACAAGTGTCTTGCCTCTTTCCCGCTAAGCATTCGTAGAGAACCTTCTGTTCTAATTAGCAGATCTTACTGACCTATTAGCCACTGTGGGAACTTGTACAATTTACTTCTATTAAATCCAAATGGATAATGCTTGGTATAATTTAACTTGATTGGAATTATATAGAAGCAGCACATTTTATAATCCTAGTAGTATAGTTGATAAAAAAAATAATGATATTTAAAATAAAAAATATAATATTTGAGTTAAGAATTTGCTATGTGAAACTCAAAGATAAAGCATAAGAAATATTACATTAAGTATATTGAATATTACATTATATTACATTAAGTACACCATATCTTGTTAAGTACATTAATTTACAGATATGTAACATTTTTGTGGGTATTGAAAATGAATAGAATGCTACTACTGAGTAGATATCAACTACCACAAATGTGCTTGTTATGAACAATTTCAGCAGCAGTGTAAAAAGGTCATGCAAACAAAATGAGTCAATGTAAATGCACACTTTATAGAAATATCTAAAATCAAATTTATGAATCTACCAGCCAGCAGTCGAACCTAATTTTTATAATAAGTTGCTGTATTGAACATTCTGTAGTGTGTTATGAATATAACTTATAATAAAGAAATGACTGTTTGTTCCCTTGTAATGTCATTAAGTAGAATGAGTGTGCCTTTTCTAAGTACCCTAAGTACAAATAAACTATCAAAAGACATGTCAAAGTTATAAGATTCCTATAGATTGTAGTCTTAAATTGCTGTTCTTTCCACATTTCATTTCATACATTTAA